AAAAAAGTTGTAAATTGTGGTCATGTAACCACATGACATGGCAAACGGTGTAAATGATGGCTGCTTGCCAAGTGCCCAAAATGCAATCACATGACCACAAGGGGGGGGTAAGGGCTTTGGAACTTCAAACCCAGTAGGACAGTGGTTCTCAACCTGTGGGTTGGGACCCCATTTGGGGTCGAACGACCATCTCACGGGGGTCGCCAAACAAGGCTGTCCGCCATTTTTTTCTCCTTTTCTTTGGCCACGTCCCTGGCACTCGGTGATATATAAGTGGTTGGGGGTCACCACAACATGGGGAACTGTATTATGGGGTTGCGGCATTAGAAAGGTTGAGAACCACTGCAGTAGGAGAAGAATTGGCAGAACCTGGGGGTGAAGTTAAAAGAAGGACCAATCTAGAATCCCTATGGACTTTTGCTTGTGGCTATGTAGGGATTCTAGGCTGATCCCTCCTTTAACTCCACCCCCTGGTTCTGGCATTCCTTCTTACGTTGTAAGTACTTTAGGGGGGGGTCTGCGTAACTTTGAACGGTCACTAGGCAACTGGTTGTAGCTTGATGATGTTATCCATTGAGTCGTGTCTGACTCTTGGCGATTCTATAGCCAGGGCTCTCCACCTCTTCTGATCTTGCACTACTTCTTTGATTCTTTCTATGCTCTGGCTGGTGTCAGCTTTGACGGTGTCCAGCCATCTTGTTCTTTGACCGCCTGGTTTCCTTTTACCATGAACTCTTCCCAACATAATTGCTTTCTCCAGTGAATTCCCCTGCGTGACATGGCCAAAGTAAATGAGAGACAGTTTCATGATTTTGCTTTCCAGTGACAAGTCTGGTGTTATGAGCTCCACTACTTGCTTGTTAGTCACTTTTGTTGACCAGGGAATATGTCTTCTTCTTCTTCTTCTTTTTTGGGGGGGGCATTCCTTGTAAGTTTGTAAATTAAGAAGCAACGGATGGAAACTCATCAAGGAGAGAACCAACCTAGAACTAAGGAGAAATTTCCTGACAGTTAGAACAATTATCCAGTGGAACAGCTTGCCTCTAGAAGTTGTGGGTGCAAGTTTTAAAGAAGAGATTGGACAACCATTTGTCTGAAAGGGCAGACATGTCAAACACAAGGCCCGGGGGCCGGATGCGGCCCGCAAAGTGGTTTCATGTGGCCTGCGAAGCCATCCTGGAAACAGTGAGGGAATGGCCCCCTCTGCCTTGGCCCTGGCCCAGGCCAGCTGGGAGCCAATGTACAATTTTGTGGTGGCCATCTATGCTGAAATGCATTCAATTTTAGCTCCATAATACCCCCCACGTGGCCTGAGAGGAACAGTGAAGCTCCTCCAGTGGACCATGCCTTGGCACTTGCCCTCATCCCACCCCCTTCTACCAGAGACCCTCAGATCTGTCCCACTCCTGCCCAGGCCCCCACAGGCACCCTTGACGCGAACAATGTAGAGCTGGCCACACCCACCCAGTAGGCCACACCCACTCCATCCACACCCACCCAGTAAGCCGCAGCCACCCTGGCCACACTCACCTGGCCCCCTGAGGGCAACCGCAATGTTGATGCGGCCCTCAATGAAATTGAGTTTGACACCCCTGGTATAGGGTCTCTTACTTGAGCAGCGGGTTGGACTAGAACAGTGGGCATCACTTTTTGGACATCAGAGAGCGTTTCCGTGGTTTTTCCAAGGACTGGAGGAGGCGTGGTTTCATGTGTTGCCTGCATCCCACAGATGGGGCTTTGCTTGTTTGCATGGACTGGTTTCTGGCGTGCCACAGACCGGTGCCGATCCACAGACTAGGCGTTGGGGACCCCTGGATTACAAGACCACCCATGTCCCTTCCAACTCTGTTATTCTGTTAACATATAAGGTTGAAGGCTCCCTGCATTCAGATGGCTCTGGGTCTCTCACTCTTCTTGAAAGACATGGAAATGACATCTATGGCATATTTCCCTGATTAAGTTTGATGTCTAGGCAGAGATAAAGTGAGACCAGCTATCTGTGCTTCAGGATTTGACTTCCCTTGCTCCTCCCACTCTGACATTCTCTAGCATCATTCTGGACACTGAGGTCCTGACTCACCTATCATAGTTGGGTCTGCCTCAAGAGACTGCTCTTTGTCCAAAATATAACCACATGCTCCCAAAAATGAAGAAGCGAATGACAATCATCACTGCCCCTAGCCAAAACAGATGGGTAAAAGATGTGATCCTCGATTCATTCATTACCGTGATCCCAGATCATAACAAGAATGGAAAAGAGTAAGAAAAAAAGAGAAAGAAAAAAATAACCAAAGAAAGGCACACGAAGGAGTTCAGATGGAATCGATACTCAAAATAAGAGCTTAAATGTTTTTTTTTTTCCTAAGTTTAAAAGAAAACAGGGCCATAATACCTGGACTCAGATCTGCAAAAAGGTAGTTCAACTGATCCGTAGAAGGCTGTGAATTTTTACGTTATACCTGGGAATTGATGGATGTTTGCAATTTGTTGCTTTTAACAAAATGAGCATCAACCCAATCTATCCGAGAGAATTAAAAAACATCAAGAAGCTCCACTCACAGCAGTGTTAATAGAGCCCACATAAAATATTATAAAGGAAGAAACTTTGCAATTCGGAGTAGGATTTAAAATTGAAGAAGGGGAAAACAACCCTGAATTCTGCCAGGAGCTGCTTTTAAACAGCCTTTCCAGCATTCAAGACAAACATCCTCAGTCAATTCAGATCTTACAGCTCCCTCTGCCGGTATTTGCAAACGCTTAGATTTGTTTTTGGGACACCCAGATATAATTCTGATTGACATCGGCAAATGGATTGTTGTTTTGCATTCAAGGCAAAATGAATTTATTATAATGGAGGATTTATTTTAGTAAGTGTGAAACCACAATTTATCGGATCCTTCCTTAGCAGACCTCCGAAGCAATGAACCAAGCACCTATCTTGACATTACCCAAAAGTAACAGACAAAACCGTTGCATTCAAAGTAATAGTGAGTTTCCTGCCTGAGCAGGGGTTTGGACTAGAACAGGGCTTTTCAACCTTTTCACCCATTGTACCACTTTTAGGATATGGCAACATCCGAGTTGTGTTGGTTGATGGTAGCTATAAATCAAAAGGCTCTCGGAAGCACTTTCTCGAATTAACAAATTGTATTAAAAGAGGCTAAGTGAAAAAGTGCTAGGTGATGCCTCTTTATTTCAACCCTAATACGGTCTGCTGCGTTGCAAAGAAAATTCATGTGGGATGGACTTTGTTTAACATATAGCACAAATCCTCTCCTCCCCCCCCCCCAATAGTTTCTTTTTGATTACAAACTGCTTTTCAGTGTTATATTCCAGGCCTGGCCATTATCTTGCCAGCTCTCTGTTATATCTCTTAAATTATGTTTGACTTTCTACGTTAAGAGCTTAAGTTCATTTGGCTTATTTTCCACGCTCTGAGCATCAGTGTGTAGGCAAAAAGGCCATGAACTTCGGAATGCCTTCTGACTTTAATTTCACTTTAATTTAAAATACTCCATTGGTATAATCTCTGTGGATTTTTTTTTTTGCAAGGTGCAAATATATGCAGGGTCCTGGATGCTCTCTGAGCTTGGTTGTTTTTTTGCAAATATTTCATTTCCAAACTAGGTAACAACATCAGGGCTAGAAAGGAGTGGGACTTGCTCTCTTTTTATATGCCCTATCAACCTTTTCACCCATTGTATCACTTTTAGGATATGGCAAGGTGTCAAAAACTTGATGACCAAAAAAAAAAAAAAGGAAAAAAGTGATAAAGTACAGGTAGTCCTCGACTTACAACAGTTCGCTTAGTGACTGTTCGAAGTTACAATGGCACTGAAAAAGTGCCCCCCAAGCCACAGCCAAGCAAGACACCTGCCTGCCCACTCAGTGGCGCTCTTCCTCCTGTCCGAGGTTTTCATTGTTGTGAGCATTTCTGTTGAGGATTGGCAGTGGGAGTGGGGTGGGGGGTGTTTGGTTTTTATTCCCCCTGTCTGCTGGGTGGTTGCAGCAGGTTTTGGTCACTTCACATGATCCTGGGACACTTTGACCGTCATTAATATGAATCAGTTGCCAAGCATCTGAATGTAAATCACAAGACCCTGGAGATGCTGCAACATTCCAGCTGATCCTGGCACTTCTTCTCGGCTTAGCGGAAGTGCCAGGATCAGCGCCGAGCTCCAGCTGGAGCCTGGCGCTGATCCTGGAGCTTCCATTGAGCTCGGACAGTCCCGAAGAAGCGCCAATCAGCTGGAAAGCGGCACTGATCCTGATGCTTCCACTGAGCCCTGATAGCCCTGCAGCTCCAGCCATCTCTCGCTCAGGCTTGTGCAGTGCTGCCACCGGTTCAACTCATTCCCCTCCCCCGCTACCATTTTTCTAGGATGCTCGCGTACCACCTGCCAGGTGCCAATGTACCACAGGTGGTACCTGTACCATTGGTTGAAAAGCCCTGGACTAGAAGACCTCCCAAGGTCCCTTCCAACTGTGTTATTCTGTTAAATGTTGAGGGATCATGTCATCAAGTTAGTGATTACATAGATTTTCTCCAGAACACTCTGTCCCCAACCTGTTTCTTCAGATCTTCCCATGGGACACCTAAACATAAGTCAATCAATCAATCAATCAATAGGAAGCTGTCCTCCTGAACCATATTTTCAACCCAGATTCTTCCATTCTTTGAGCAAAATGGGACCCAACAAGATTGGTCGTGTTTAGCCATTTAGCAGGTTATTAATAAAAGACTTTTAAGGATTAATGTATTATGTATTAATAATTTATTAACAAATTAATAAATTAGTACCAATGTATTAATTAATAACTTATTAATAAACGAATGACTTATTAATTATAATAGTTCAATATAATCTTATTAATAAGAGAGATTGGACAACCGGGGCAGGGGTTGGACTAGAAGACTTCCACGGTCCCTCCCAACTCTTATTATTCTATATTCTGTGAAAAGACTCCAGTAACATAAACAGTCATTACAATCCACAATATTTCATGTCTGATGGGAAACATCTCAACTCTTTATTTAAATATCAACTTGGCTTTGCTTGGATGTGTTTCCATTCTTCTGCCCGATGAAATTCAGCAAGAACTTTAAAATGATGTCCCGTGTCCTGGCATTCAAATCTACCATTCTCATAAGGCACAACCCTGGTGGAAACCCATGTGTCCACGGGGGACATTAAAAAGGGGCTTAAATGAGGTAATTTTTCAATAGCTGCAAACGGCATAACTGAGGCAGGAGTGAGAAACTTGTGCAGCTTTAGCTCACATGGTGAAGGATGCTGGGAAGCGTAGTTTGGTGATATCTAGGGGAGCATCAGTTTGCCCACCCCTGCTGGAATGAACCACGCAAACAGTTCAATTGTGAAAAGACGCCAATGGTGTTGAAACCAGGAACTACAAATAGAACAAGATGTTTTGGAAGCGAATAGGAAAATGCCATTTTTAGAGCAGGTCTTCAAGTACAGAGAGATCAATATGACCTTCCTATATCTGGAAGACACAAGGTTCTTTTGACCTGAGACCCCGCAGTACAATAGAATTTCTCACTGTTTAGCAATCTGAGAAGCTCACCCCCCCCCCACTCACTGAACCTAGCTTCCAAATATCTGTAAGCTTGGTTTCTATTATTCCAACAATTGATGAAACACAAGAGGGTGATTTGTTAATACCCTGCTAATTTTTCATCCCAAACCAATATAAGCACTGGTGTGAAACCGAAATCCTGGTACGAATGAAAATCTTAAGCTAAAGAAGCTTTGTAGATGTCTGCCCGTTCTTCACATCTAATAGAACTGCAGGGCACCACTTGTAGAAAGTTGACCTAGAGAGGCAACTCACAAAATCCAAGGTTCTCATCTCTTGATGTCTTCCAATTTTCTCGTTCGCACAAACTTTCTGGATAAAATTATTCTTCCAGCAATTAGAATGACAATTCTAGTGGGCATGCTCTGGACTTTTGATGCTGTCCTGTTAGACATCCCAGGAAGTCTACTCATGATGTCAGAGGATGATGAGAAAAGGGAGCTTCCTTATTGGATATGATATGGATGACAGTCCTATAACCATAGTTTGGGCTTTGCATAATCTGCTCACTCCCTCTCCATTGGGTGATAATTTTTTCTGAATCAAGGTCTTTTAGGCCTGCTGGTTTATGGCTGCCTTCACTGACAATGGCTTTGGCCACTGAGGTGACACAGTTGTCACTTAAAAATTCTGAAGGACCTCAAGTTGTGAAAAGCTGATGTTGTTGGTAATCTCCACCCCATTGTTGTTGTTTTTTAAGAGAGCTGGTCCAACGTTATTGTACAGGTGTACCTACGTGTTCATAATTGTAATATGGGTATGGTTGTTCACCTGTATATATGTACACTAGGATGATATGCAAATAATCCATGGGTTTGCAAGGTTTTGCAGGAGGCCGCAAGGGAAGGGGGAGACTGCAGATCTCAATGGAAATCTGACAAATTCCTTGCCTTTATTTTGTTCATTGTGGGAGGATTCTGCCTCCAGAACTTTGCCAAACCTTGACCTACGTACATCACCTGAGAAGCCCAGCTAGATAATTGTGAGTTCTACCTAGACATTGAAAAAAAACAAAAATACAAAAACCCATCATCGTGGAGTCTTAAGATTACAGAACAAGCAGCTCACACTAGGTCTGGGATTTTTGTGTCCATAGGACACTCGTGACGATGGCTTCAAAACTCCTCAAAATAGGGTCAACACATATGTTTTGAGTTTCCGCACGCTTTTGCTCTAGCCCAGATGACATCATGAATGTTGGAAAAAAAATAAATTTGCGGGGGAGGGGGGGAGATTATGGGTGGATCCATGCACTTCTTATCACACGGGAAGATAAGCAGGAGCAAGCTGTACCTGGTTGCGTATTTTGGGAGTGTGCCTGCAATGTAGCACCATTTTGCTGCAAAAGGCACTGAAGCCAGAGTCAGTATATTTAAACTGTTCCTAAGGTCATCTTAGACAATTGACCCAGGTCTTTCCAGATACACTGGATTCCTATAATTCCCAACCTGAACAGCCGACATAGGTCTAATGTTGGCTAGATCACCAATATATGGGGGTAGGGGGAATCCTCTTTGGGATGATGGAGGAATAGTACCTAATCAAAGAGGTGAAACACGCACCAACCGTGTGGGAAGAAAAGGATGAGTAGATGGCTAGTAAATCTGGAGGTAACCAGTTAATGCATGGACTTTTATCATTCCATAGCTGGGACGTTTTTCCTGGAATTCTGTTTTCCATTCCGGAATCTTGACACCTCCCTCTAAGTCCGTGGTTGTGTTTATAAGTCTGTGTAGGCTGGATCCAGATCCATCCTTTGAGCTTTTCCAAAGAGGAGGAATGTGCAAAGTCCAAGGGCATTCACAGCAGCCACAAGATTGAAAACAGACACCCAGGAGCCTGTGTTTTCGATGAGGTGTCCAGCTAGGTATACACAAACAACACCTGTGTGCAGAGAGAAAAGCAAAAGTGAATGTGCTGGCTTTTTTTTTTAAAAAAAAAAAACACAGTCTTGTTTCAACCCAGAAATTCTTATTTTGGGCTATTCTCTTGACAACCAATAAGTTCAGATTACTACAACACGCTCCACCTGGGGCTGCCCTTGGAGACTACCCAGAAACTGCAACCAATGCAGAATACATCCCTTACCAACGAATTGATTGGATCGGATTATTATCCTACCTTTTGTACAAGTATTCAAGCAGCATATATAATGCTTCTATTTCTCCTAGTATGCACCACCGCAACAGCAATCCCTAGAGGTAGGTTGGGTTGCAAAAGAATATTTGACCCACAGTCATCCAGTGACTAGATCAGTGATGGCGAACCTTTTAGAGACCGAGTGCCCAAACTGCAACCCAAAACCCACTTATGCATCGTCGGATGCCGGGTGGGTGTGGCCCATTGGGTGGGTGTGGCTGCGGTGGTAACGGCAGACTGGGTGGGACTAAAAAGTTCAATCAATCAATTCCAACTTTGCAAGATCTTTTTTTCCCCGTGAGAAGTTGAAATTGACTGATTGAACCCTTTTTTTTTTTGCACACGGCGGCGGAGGCCTAAAGCGAAAAGGTTTTATAAAACCCAGCTGAAGGCCTAGGACTGGGGCAACGGTGCATGTGCCCACAGAGAGGGCTCTGAATGCCACCTCTGGCACCCGTGCCATAGGTTCGCCACCACTGGACTAGATCTTGCAATACAGGTAGTCCTCGTTTCATGAACAGTCACTTAGCAACTGTTCAAAGTCATAATGGACCTTCCCAGAGCTACTTACAACCTGTTTTTGAAATTGCAGCCTACCATGGCAGTTCCTTTCTGCACACTGGAGGGGAGTTGAACTCAGCAAGCAACTCTTTTGCTCCACCCGGTTAGTAACCTGGGAGACTGCTTAATGACTGCAATCAGAAATGGTGGGATTGTGGTCATTGAGCAAGGCAATTTCTTGGGCATCCTTGCTTAACTACTGCTTTATTCCACGACCATACGTCAAGGAGTATACCTGTATATCTAATTTTCTAAAAACCGAAGCTTAAGGAGCTATTACAAGAGAAGGCCTTTGAAACCATATAAGGAATGGTTGCTGGAATTAGGTATGTCTAGTTTAATGAAGAGAAGATGAGGGGGGACATAATAGCAGTCTTCCAGTATCTCAGGGGCTGCCCCAAAGAAGAGGGAATCAAGCTATTCTCCAAAGTGCCTGAAGGCAGGACAAGAAGCAATGGGTGGAAACTAATCAAGGAGAGAAGCAACCTAGAACTAAGGAGAAACTTCCTGACAGTTAGAACAATTAACCAGTGGAACAACCTGCCTCCAGAAGCTGTGGGTGCTCCAACACTGGAAGTTTTTAAAAAGAGACTGGACAGCCATTTGTCTGAAATGGCCTGAGCAGGGGGTTGGACTAGATGACCTCCAACTTTATTATTATTCTCATCATCATCCAGCTGGATTATCCTTATATAGTTTATTTATAATTATTTATTTATTGGGCTGTGTAGTTAGAGACACAAAGAATTTATCTCCAGTACAGAAGCACTCTAGTGTACTTGCAAAAAAACAGAAAATACTTATACTAATAGTAAGGTGTAGAGCCAATAAAAGGGGGAAGTAAAAAAATAATAAAGGGGATTAATAATCATATTGCAGCCACACCCTATGAGTTAATATACATGTACATTAGGCAAAAAAAAATCCCCTTACTTAGTCCCTTTGTTATTTCCTAGCTGTGGACTGAAAGCTAATTCCACAGTCCATCCAGTTGATCCTCTGGATACAAGTATAGCTGAGAAACAATTAGGGAAATGGTGAATTGTTTGGTACTCCATAACATACCTAGTAAAGCTCCACCTGTATTTGCCACACCTAAGGAAAGATTAAAAAAAAAGGTGAGGTATAAATTCAAAAAGGACTTGGTGTTCTGATATATTCTTTTATCATTTTTGCCTCCAGCAAGCATGCCACCATCTTTTGGGGACTTTGAATAGTTTCTTCCTCTGAATTTATCACTCTGCTTTTCCTTCAGGGAATTCTCTTCCCCCTCCTTTATCGGCATGTTTCCTTGAATGATTCTAATGCCTCTCATTTTGGCCCTACAAGTAGTCCTGAATCCTTCTGCCACCCTCAAGCCATCACTAATAATCTATATCAGTGTTTCTCAACCTTGACAATTTTAAGGCCTGTGGACTTCAACTCCCAGAATTCCACAGCCAGCAATGCTGGCTGTGGAATTCTGGGAGTTGAAGTCCACATGCCTTAAAATTAAGGCATCAAGGTTGAGAAACACTGCTCTATATACTGCCAAAACTCTCTTGTTTCTTTGCCTGTTTGTAATCTTCAATTGGGAAGTAAGGTGTATCACAGGGCAACAATTTTTGAATCCATTGTCCCAGATGTGCTTTTTTAGGAGGCAACTGGATTTTCTTGTTTTTCTTTGAAGATGTTTCGCTTCTCATCCAAGAAGCTTCTTCAGCTCTGACTGGATGGTGGGGAACGGAAGGATTTATACTCCTTACAGACAGCTGGTCATTTGCATTCTTTTAAAGAGTCATTGAGGCCACTTGGAGATTTACCTGTGTCCTCAGGGTCATTTGAGTAGTGCAGATGTGTGTGGAGCCTTCTTGGCTGCACGATGTTTTCTGCCCTGGGTCCCTTCACTGTTGAAGACAGGCACAGGCTTAATAGTCACTGCAGAAAATGTCGTATAAATCAGGTGGGCAATACGATTGACCCATTTTACAATCATCGTGGCATACAACTGTAATGGGCAGGTTGCACTATGTTTATAGGTCAAGGAGTACCTGTAATAATGCTATTTTGAACAATTAGGTTCACCTCTGTGGAGCCTTTTAAATTCTGTGGATTAGGTTCACCTCTGTGGAGCCATTTAAATTCACCTCTGTGTGAATTTAAATGGGCTCCAGAAGATGGTAGAGGACAGGAAGACCTGGAGGAACGTTGTCCATGGGGTCGCGATGGGTCGGACACGACTTCGCAATTAACAACTGTGGAGCCCTTGGTGTTCTCTGAGCTTGGTGGTATTCTTGCAGACATTTCATTACCCAAGTAGGTAACATCATCAGGGATAGTAGGGAGTGGGGTTTGTGGAATGGAGGCCCTTAATGCTCTCTGAGCTTAATGGTTTTCTTGCAGATGTCCCAAAGGTGCTTTTTCAAGAGGCAACTTTCAAAACTTTGGGGTCATAGAGGCCATCTATCTCAAAATGGAACAGCCCTCTCTCAATGGGGGGTGGGGATACGACATCATCTATCTCCAATCTACAACACAGTCCTTTCAGTGGTTCCAAGAAGGCTCCACTCCCATTTGCACCACTCAGGTGACCCTGATGACAGACAAACCTCCAATTGGCCTCAACGACTCTCTAAAAGGATGCAAATGACCAGCTGTCTGCAAGGAGTATAAATCCTTCCATTCCCCAACATCCAGTCAGAACTGAAGAAGCTTCTGGGATGAGAAGCGAAACATCTTCAAAGAAAAACAAGGTCCATTTGCTTCCTGAAAAAAGCCCCTTTGGGACAACCATGACCTGGATCTCCACAGACATTTTGAATCCATTTTTTGGCCAACACAAAGAGAATTGGGACTTGTCCTTTTCCGCAGCTCTTTTCACTCAAATCTCTCTGATCAAATCATCTTTTCTCCAAGATTTCATTCTTTCCGTTCATTCGTTCGTTCGTTCAGTGACGTTCATTCACACCCTGCAGGAAAATGTGTGTCATCCAGTTCTTAAGGCTTCGTACACTGTAAAGAAAGCAGATGCATATGGCTTCCGTGGCTGAACAAAGATTAGTTCACTTATTCATGCTCTCTAATTCTTCTTGACTCATGATAATTGCCGGCCAGGATGGCTAAAGGTTGTTTTCATGGTTCAAATCATCTGAGTTAATCCAGATGTCGATGGAGATTCTCAGTCATCCAGGTCGTGGTTGTCCCAAAGGTGCTTTTTTCACGAGACAGCTCGCCCTTCTTGTTTTTTCTTTGAAGACCTTTCACTTCTCATCCCAGAAGCTGGATGAGAGCTGAAGAAGCTTCTGGAGTGAGAAGCGAAACGTCTTCAAAGAAAAACAAAGAAAGCCCAGCTGCCTCATAAAAAAGCATCTTTGGGTTTGTTAATCCAGATTTTCACAGAAAATCAGACCCTTTGAAATTACAAAAAAAAATGAATACAAGGGCTACCTGCTGACCACTTTTTGGCAACTTTGCCTTCAAATGATATTTTGTGGTAATATAATTAGGGTGGTTTTTTTTTTTTCCTGACTGAGTACAAACCAAGGTGTCAACGGTGCAAATACTGTATATTCTTGCTTTGACAATATGCAGAAATGTCTGGTATTTTTAGAGTTAATGCAGAGCATAAGAGAGAGGAAGGAAACCTCTGACCTTCACACTAATTGGATAATGTGATATATGACAGCTAATTTAGGGAGGGAACATGCTGATAATTTAACTGCTCAGAGGAAGAGAACTTAGATCTTAGCATAGACTTCGTTATGCCTGTGCGGACATTTTGAAGCAATAAAAGACTTTTAAGGAGATCAATGCCTGGAAGTTCTTTGAAGTGTTTCATTAGCCGGAACCATAACACAAGGATCTTAGAAGTAGCTAACTCACGGGTCGGCAACCCGCGGCTCCGGAGGCCGCATGTGGCTCTTTGACCTTCTCCTGTGGCTCCCAGCCTCCTCCGCCATTTGCAGAGAGAGAGACAGAGACAGAGAGAGGTACTTGCGCTTTCCTTCTCTCTCTCTCTCTCTCTCTCTCTCTCACACACACACACACACACACACACACACACACACACTGAGTGGGGGAAGAGGACTGGCAGACCAAGGGCAGGAGATAAGAATGTGTGTCAGCTTGTCGGAGAACAGTATGAAGCCAACTTGCCAGGTGAGCAGAAGATCGGAGAGAGGCAGAGAGAGAGGGAGGGAGAGAGAGAGAGAGAGGGAGGGAGACAGGGGGAGAGAGAGAGAGAGAGAGAGGGAGGGAGGGAGAGAGAGAGGGAGGGAGACAAAGAGAGGGGGAGAGAGAGAGAGGGAGGGAGGGAGAGAGAGAGGGAGAGAGAGACAAAGAGAGGGAGAGAGAGAGAGGAAGGGAGGGAGGGAGGGAGAGAGAGAGAGAGAGAACTCATGCACAGCAGGCCCTATTTCTTTTTAATTAAATCAAGCTCCCCCCCCCCCCCGTGTGCGCGCAAGTTTTACTCCTCCCAGTGTTTTCTTTTCTCTGGGAAACGGGTCCAAGTGGCTCTTTGAGTGTTTAAGGTTGCCGACCCCTGAGCTAACTGAATATGACAATATCAAAATATAAGAAGGATTAAGCCAGATTAGCATTTGGATGGGAGCCTAATCCCAGGAATCCCAGGGCATAGTAGTCTTCATTGGGAAATCGGAAAAACCTCCCAGAAATGGAAAGCCAATTCCATATTGTTGCCAGGAAAACTATATGGGCACAGCCATGAAGCCATCAGGAATCCCTCCCACTTGACTTGATATAAATCTTATAACAGAAAAAAGCAATTTTTTCCTCACCAAACAATAAACCAGCACATGAAGGAGCCAGATCCTGAATATTGACTGAGATGCCACTGCACAAAAAAAATAAAATAAAATAAAGATGTCTTAGAACCAAATCTCAATTAACAGTTTAAATTGGGGGAATTTGAAATGAGTTAAAACTTGACTGCTGTGTTTGTAGGCCTAGGGCAGGGGTAGGCCACCTTGGCTCTTTTACGACTCGTGGACTTCAACTCCCAGAATTCCTGAGCCAGCATGGCTCAGCTTGGAAACTTCTCCCTTTCCCCTCTGCATGGCTGACTCAGGAATTCTGGGAGTTGAAGTCCACGAGTCATAAAAGAGCCAAAGTTGCCTACCCCTGGCCTAGGGGTTGAATATCTTTGTAGTAGGAAATAGCTTTCCTTAACTCAGAGGAAGATTAATCTCAGGCTATAAGGCTACCAATGGCCCTGAGACCTTTTGCTATCCCCAGGCCATCACTGATAATCTATATACTACTAAAACTCCACGTGTCTGTTTGTAACCTTCAATTGGGTGAAATGGTGCATGATATAGTAACCATTTTTGAATCCAAGTATCTCAAATGGGCTAGGTTAAAGGATTGAAAATCTAGGATCCATTGCTCCCTTGGGATTTTCAAGGTTCTTCAGACCAGTTGTATTGACAAAATTGAGGCCAATGCAGCAAAGCTGTAATCAGTTGCGATCATGTGGTCGTGATTTCCGACACTCCCTGCTGGCTTTCCACAAAGAAACACAATGGGGAAGTCGGCAGGAAGTCAGAATTCACTCCTGCTGCCAGTGCTTCTTTGCCCGCTCAAGATCAGAATGATCTTCGGTTTTAGTCAGGATATATCTCTGAAATGATGATGGGTGTGCTATAATTTAGAGGCCTAGTTGCCTGCCACTTGGTAGGACAAACTATAAAAACTAAGAGCCATAAATAAGACTTGGAAGATAAAAAAGATCCTCAAATGGAACCCTTGGGGACACGATGTAGCTTTTCTTAAAAAAAAACAAAAACATCTCAACCACATAAAATATTTGAAAATGAGCACATCAGTTATGTATTTGACACAAGTGTAAAGCCACACTTGGAATACTGCATCCAGTTTTGGTCACCACGATGTAAAAAAATGTTGAGACTCTAGAAAGAATGCAGAGAAGAGCAACAAAGATGATTAGGGAACTAGAGGCTAAAACATAAGGAATGGTTGCTGGAATTGGGTATCTCTACTTTAATGAAGAGAAGGACGAGGGGGGACATGATAGCATTGTTCCAGTATCTCAGGGGCTGCCCCAAAGAAGAAGAAGTCAAGCTATTCTCCAAAGCACCTGAGGGCAGGACAAGAAGCAGCAGATGGAAACTAATCAAGGAGAGAAGCAACCTAGAACTAAGGAGAAACTTCCTGACAGTTAGAACAATTAATCAGTGGAACAACCTGCCTCCAGAAGCTGTGAATGCTCCAATACTGGAAGTGTTTAAGAAGAGACTGGACAGCCATTTGTCTGAAATGGTATAGGGTTTCCTGCCTGAGCAGGGGGTTGGACTAGATGACCTTCAAGGTCCCTTCCAACCTCATACTCACTGGTTCCCCAACTTCACCCCCAAAAATATGAGTCATCACAACTCAGGCAACTGCAGCTTGTGTTCCTCCTTCAAGGAACATAGTATCAGGTTTCCCTATAGCTACCTACTACAGGTAGTCCTCAACTTATGGCCACAATCGTGCCCAAAATTTCTGTTGCTAAGTGAGATATTTGTTCAATGAGTTTTGCCCCCATTTTATTACCTTTCTTGCCACAGTTGTTAACTGAATCACGGCAGTTAAGTAAATCCGGCCTCTCCATTGATTTTGCTCGTCAGAAAGTGGCAAAAGGGGAGTCACATGACCCCTGCCACCGTCATAAATATGAGTCAGTTGCCAGGCATCCGAATTTTGATCAGGCGACCATGGGGAGGCCGTGATGGTCGTGTGAAAATAGCCATAAGACACTTTGAACAGTCACTAAATGAACTGTTGTAAGTCGAGGACTAGCTTTATCTGCGAGGTAGAGTGGACAAAATGATAGCAACTTGCTTGTGTCTGACCAAGCAGAGATATCAATTTTATGAAATTTTATGTCTCTCCAGCCTTGGCACCAACACCAGGGGCTTTATATACCAATGTTTTTTAATACTTGGAAACTTTAACATGCGTGGACGTCAACTCCCAGAATTCCCCACCCATCTTTTACGTAAGAAGTTCTGGTGTTACCTGTGGTTGAAAGTCTGAAGTCCAATGCTGGCTGAGGCAAAGGCCACTGCTTGGCAAAAGTTGGTGGAGTAACCTATCCCTAAGGCAAAAAGACTGGATACCCCGGAGCCAATGACCTCAGAGGAAATCAAAAGACAGAATTTTGGTAAATGTGCTGGTTATTATTTACAGTATGTATTTCCCTAAGCTTATATGCCAGTGATGGTGAACCTTTTAGAGACCGAGTGCCCAAACTGCAACCCAAAACCCACATGCATCGTCGGGTGCCGGGTGGGTATGGCCCATTGGGTGGGTGTGGCCCATTGGGTGGGCGTGGCTGCGGTGGTAACAGCAAACTGGGTGGGACTAAAAAGTTCAATCAATCAATTCCAACTTTGCAAGATCTTTTTTTCCACGAGAAGTTGAAATTGACTGATTGATTGAACCTTTTTTTTTTTTTTTTTTTGCACACGGCAGTGGAGGCCTAAAGCGAAAAGGTTTCATAAAACCCAGCTGAAGGCCTAGGACTGGGGCGATGGCATGCATGCTCACAGAGAGGGCTCTGAGTACCGCCTCTGGCACCCGTGCCATAGGTTCGCCACCACTGTTATATGCCATTTCACTCATGTCTGATTCTAAGCCAGGCGTCTTCAAACTTGGCCTTTCTTCACAGCCGTATGATTCTCATCACTGGTGTTTGCCAGCTGCACTAAGTCACCATATGTCATTTTAATTTGGTGGTATATACCGGGGCTCTCCAAACTTGGCAGCTTTAAGACTTGTGGACTTCATTTCCCAGAATTCCTCAGCCAGCTTCCTGAGGTATTCTGAGAGTTGAAGCCCACAAGTCTTAAAGTTGTCAAGTTTGGAGAGCCCTGGTATATAAGCATGTAAGTAAGTAAGTCAGTCAGGCAGTCAATCAATCAATCAATCAATCCATAAATCACCAAAGGCCCCAGGTTGTCCTATGAGTCATACACCTAAGGATTCCAAAATCTCACATTGGAAATCATGGAGATATAGCTTTTGGTTCTTTCTCTGTAACAATATTTGAATTTTTTTTTTCCTCTTACCTGCATAAACTTACGAGCGGTGATTGGTTTGCACCCTGAAAGAAAAAAAAGGGAAACAATCAGCTGATTAGGGCAGATCCCATTTTCATTGCTGGGGGGGGCTGCTCTTTTGCCCGCTATTTTGGTTAAAACCCTACTGCACAATATCGCAACAGGTATATTTAAAAAAAGTAATAATAATAAAGCACATACTTTTAAAATTGGGTTAAAAACTTTTAACAAGGAGTATTTCTTTTCTGCTTTTGAAAAAAAACAATTGATTGATCATGTGCCATTAAACCAGTGTTGATTCCTAGCTATCACACAGATAGATTTTCTAAAGGTTGATTTAAAAACCAAGAGGAATATAGTTCTGGCAGGTGCAAAAGCTAGGGCTGTGTATCCCTTTCATAGATGTGGTTGCTTTAAAGAGCTCTTGAGGTGTGCCAGATTTACACCACTTTCGTATTCTGATGTACCAATGTGGAACTGCATCGACAGTGTTGCAAAACCTCAAAGAAAACCATGTTTAATTCTCCCTTGCCTTTGCTATTTGTCATATCCTATCCTTAATCCACCCGTCCTCACCCCCAGTTAGAAGCAATACTTTTCACATTGTGAAGTGTCCGAAAAATAAAAATTAAGGAGCAAAACCTTAAATCGCTGGTAAAAAAAACCCATACTGTTTTCCAATCCTGAAGAGTAAAAGCGTGTCACCATTCAATTGTGTTCTGAACCGACAACTCAGAATTAAAGGAACAAAGAGCAAAATACCTTGACTGATACATTGATCAGACAGGAAACCAGCAAACAAACTGGTTGGAATTGCCACCAGCCAAGGAATGACATTAAAAATCCAGCCCTGAAAGGAAGATAGAAACAGGGATTTGTAGAGCTTCCTTGTTGAAGAAAAATTTCCAAGAAAAGAATCACCTAGGGCAGGGGTAGGCAACCTTGGCTCTTTTATGACTCGTGGACTTCAACTCCCAGAATTCCTGAGCCAGCCATGCTGAGGGGAAAGGGAGAGGTTTCCATGCTGAGCCATGCTGGCTCAGGAATTCTGGGAGTTGAAGTCCACAAATCATAAAAGAGCCAAGGTTGCCTATCCCTGACCTAGGGCCAGCTAAAAGTTTAAACCAAGGGTGTCCAACCTTTGTAACTTTAAAGATTCATGGATTTCAATTCTCAGAATTCCCCAGCCAGCATTCTGGGGGTTGAAATCCACAAATCTTAAAGGTGCCAAGGTTGGACACCTCTGCTTTAAAGCCCAAAGGTGCATTTTTTCAAGAGGCAACTGGACTTTCTTATTTTTCTTTGAAGAAGTTTCGCTTCTCATCTAAGAAGCTTCTTCAGCTCTGACTGCATGGTGGAGGATGGAAGGATTTATATTTCTTGCAGAGAGCTGGTCATCTGCATTCTTTTAGAGCAGTGGTTTTCAACCTGTGGGTCGGGACCCCATTTGGGGTCGAATGACCATTTCATGGGGGTCGCCAAACAACGCAGTCTGCCATTTTTTTCCCATTTTCCTTAGCTATGCTACTCCCTTTTATTCTATTGGCTTTTGAAAGCCAATAGAATAGACTCTCTTGAATAGAGTCTAATTCTATTTGCTTTCAAAAGCCAATAGGAATTGTCCAAGCTGTCTCTGTCCTGCTGACCCCGCCAAAAGTCCCATTCTGCAAACGGTGCTGCACCAGTTGAGTAGTCCTCGACTGACGACCGGTTGAGTAGTCCTTGACTTACGACCGGTTGGGGGTCGCGGCATTAAAAAGGTTGCGAACCACTGTTTTAGATCGTCCTTGAGACCATTTGAGACCTGTATCCTCAGGGTCACCTGAGTAGTGCAAATGGGTATGGAGCCTTCTTAGCTGCAGGATTTTTCTGCCCTCGGTCCCTTCACCGCTGAAGACAGTTGCAGGCTGTTGGGGATGAGTCAGTGTTGTCTGCATCTCAAGCTGAAGCACAAACGGTTCGTGTAGCCTGCAATGTTTTCTGGACATCCGTTCATACTCCCTCACCATTCGAAGGGCGTTCATCCCAAAGTGCATAGCTAAATACCAGCTGCCTGCAAGGAGTATAAATCCTTCCATTCCCCACCCTCCAGTCAGAGCTGAAGAAGCTTCGTGGATGAGAAGCGAAACATCTTCAGAGTAAAACAAGGAAGTCCAATTAACTCCTGAAAAGGCACCTTTGGGACAACCATGACCTGGATGACTGAGAATCTCCATCGACATTCTCCTTTAAACCATTACCTAGGTTGACTAAGTACCATCAAATAATTTTCAACTCCTATATTTCCTCCATGACCATCTCTCCCTAACCTGGTTAAGGTCTTCTAATGGTGCACTCATCTCCCCTTTAATGGAGTCCATTCACTTTGCTGGTGGTTCTCCTCTTCTCTTTCCTTCCACCTTTCTCAGCATCAAAACCTTCTCCAGAGAGTTGGGTCTTCACATAATGTGTCCATAAAGTAGGACAATTTGAGCCTGGTCATTTGTGCCTCGAAGATGACCTCTGGGTTGATTTACTCAATGATCCATTTGTTTGCGGTGGATCTGGCTTTCCTCCTCGACTTTGCTTGTCAGAAGATCACAAAAGGGGATCACATGACCTTGGGACACAGCAACCGTCATGAATTGAATCAGTTTCCAAGGGTTCCGAATTTTGATCACATGACATGGGGTGAGGCAGCAATGGTCATAAGTATGAAAAATGGTCATAAGTCACTTTTTTCAGTGCCGTTGTAACTTTGAACAATTACTAAATGAACTGTTGTAAGTCAAAGACTACCTCAGAATCAGAATAGAGCTGGAAGAGATCTTCAAGGTCTTCTAATCCAGTGTTTCCCAAACTTGACAATTTTAAGGCATGTGGACTTCAACTCCCAGAATTCCACAGCCAGCGTTGCTGGCTGTGGAATTCTGGGAGTTGAAGTCCTCATGCCTTAAAATTGTCAAATTTGGGAAACACTGTTCTAATCCAACCCCCTGCTCAAGCAGGAGACCTTATACCATTTCAAACAAGTGACCCTCCAGTCTCTTCTCAAAAGCCTCCAGTGATGAAGCACCCACAATGTTTGGAGGCAGGCTATTCCACTGATTAATTGTTCTCACTGTTAGGAAGTTTCTCCTTAATTCCAGGTTGCGTCTCTCCTTGATTAGTTTCCATCCATTGTTTCTTGTCCTGCCTTCAGGCGCTTTGGAGAATAGCTTGACCCCCTCTTCTTTGTGGCAGCCTCTCAAATGCTGGAATACTGCTATCATGACCCACTAGTCCTTTTCTCTAGACCAGCGGTTCTCAACCTATGGGTCGCGACCCCATTTGGGGTCGATCGACCATTTTACGGGGGTCGCCAAACAATGCGATCCGCCATTTTCCCCCCTCAGGGGGCGGCGCCGCGCATGCGCAGCACGTTCGTGTGACGGGGGTCGCCATCACACGAACGTTGAGAAACGCTGCTCTAGACTAGCCAAAAAGTAAATGAAATAATTAAAATACATACACAGCTCAGTGGCAGAGGGGGGAAATCTGATAGCTTTTTGACCAGTAGCACTAAAAATCATTAGTCTAGAACAGGGGTAGGCAACCTTGGCTCTTTTATGACTTATAGACTTCAACTCCCAGAATTCCTAAGCCAACATGGCTCAGCTTGAAAACCTCTCCCTTTCCCCTCAGCATGGCTGGCTCAGGAATTCTGGGAGTTGAAGTCCACGAGTCATAAAAGAGCCAAGGTTGCCTACCTCTGTTCTAGAAGAATTTGAGTTGCTGAAAAGTAATACATGCACATTCGTGCTATATGGCAAAAAAAGGAATATTTTATTATTTGCAGGTCTGATCAATAGGTGGTACTATTCTGCCACAACAAGGCTTGCTATCCAGGTTTTAATGTACAGCCGTCGTCTTCATGCTTTGCTAGTTGATGCAAAATAGAGACTAACTCCTGACAATCATTTGTTCTACTCTTCACCACTGTCATTTATGCTTATTTGACTTCCTAGCAGCACCCAGAGTGCCATAAAAAGGAAGGCAGCTGTGAACACAAGATGTTTTTCCAAAAGGCAGAGAGACTTTCTTGATTTTTTTTTCCATTGAAAACATTTCACTTCTCGGTCAAGAAGCTTCTTCATTTCTGACTGAACGGTGGGATTTATATTTGTATGGGTTTATATTCTTTGCAGTCATCTGGTTGTTAGTGTGAAAAGTGGTCATAAGTCCATTTTTTTTCAGTGCTGTTCTAACTTCAAACGGCCACTAACTGAATGGTTGTAAATCTAGGACTACCAGTATTCAAATCCCATCAAACAATTATGAGAAGTAGTAACAGAATAACAGACTTATTCATGCTGGCTCAGGAATTCTGGGAGTTGAAGTCCACAAGCCATAAAAGAGCCAAGGTTCCCCACCCCTGATCTAACCCATCCTCTTCCCTTTCCCCCGGCCTCCATTTTTCATCATAATCCTATCTTCCACCTCAGAAGAGGTACAAACAAAATGAGAACTCATCCAATTGCACACGTGGCAAGCAAACTACACCATAAGACACAGTCACCCTCTTGGAGAAGTCAAAGGTGCGAGTTTACTCCAGGGCCGAGCAAAACTACTTGCCCCCTCCCCTTTCCCCTCCCCTTTCCCCCTTCTCGTGAAGGATACGTGCGCTCACCTTTGAATCGGGAAATGTTTCGCTGAAGAATGTCGGCAGCCAGGATAGCAGGGTGAAGAATGTGCTAGCTGCACACAACTGAGCCACAATCACCGCCCTGGGGAAGTTCATTGCCGAGTTCAGATGAGCAAGGTTTTTCTCAAGAACTTTGAAAGGGCCATGGCTCCCAGGAAGAGCGCACGGGTGGTCCTCGCATTTACGACCACAGACCAGAATATCGGTTGCTAATAAGGAGGTTAAGGGATTGGTGCCGAATTTTATGGTCTTTCCTGCCATGATTGTTAAGCCAATCACTGCATCGAATGAGAGAACCATGCAGTCATTATGCAGTCCGTGGGGATGCTGCAATGCTTGTAAGTGTGCAGATTGGTTGTGAGTCGCTTTTATAGTGTTGTGGTAACTTCAAACCATTGTAAGCCAAGGACTACCTGTATATGGTTTTCCCTCCCTCCCTTCCTTCTTCCTCTCTTTCTTCCTTCCTTTTTCCTATCCCCTTCCTTCCCCCTTCTCTTCCTTCTTCCTCGCTTCTTCCTTGCTTCCTTCCGCCGTCCTTTCTTTTTCCTATCCCCTCCCTCCCTTCCTTCCATCTTCCTTTTTTCCTATTTCATTCCTCCCTCCTTCCTTGCTTCCTTCCATCTTCCTTCCTTTTTCCTGTCCCCTTCCTCCTCCCCTTCCTTCCTTTTTCTTATCCCCTCCTTCCCTCCCTTCCTTCCTCCCTCTCTCCCTCCTTCCTTGTTTCTTTCCGTTATCCTTCCTTTTTCCTATCCCTCCCTCCCTTCCTTCCTTCCTTCCCTCCCTCCCTCCTTCCTTCCTTCCTTCCTTCCTTCCTTCCTTCCTTCCTTCCTTCCTTCCTTTCTTCCTTTCTTCCCTTCTCCAGAAGGGATGAATAAGCAGGGGAATACAGCAATCAAGACCTCATTCAGGTATCCCCATAGCCAACACAAAGACAGGACTCCATTTTTTCATCAGGAATTTCTTAAGCAGTTTAAGCAATCAGATTAGGAAAAACCCCTAAAATGTAATAATTGAACAAAATTCTAAATGCTAACAAGGACAGAAACTTACCAAATGGGAGGCTTCCTAAATAATTTTCTCCAAGGCACTTTGGTCGATTTGGATGATAAGGAAAGACCCTTTGCCAAGTCTTGCAGTGAGACTATTATTTCTGCAAAATATAAACGGGCACGTGGTTATAAATAGGAAACTCGGCGGTTTGGGAGGAGAGATTTTTGCATATCCTGTGTTCATAGTATTTAGTAGAATCCTGCCCTCCCCTGAACTGCAATCATAAAGGACCCTTCAGAGACAGATTTACCAACTCTAGAGACAGCTACACCTCAAAAATCAAGATCATGGTCGTCAGCAAACAACCCGTTAATTTACCACCAATAAATTCAGAAGGAATACCACTAGACAAAGTTGAAAGGATTACGCACCTCAGTTCTAATTTACATGAAAGCTGGGGCATGACTGTTGAAGTAAAGACAAGGATAGAGAAAGCTCAAACAGCATTCTTCAAAATGAAAAAGGTCTTCTGCAGTCATGACATAAGCCTAAGACTGAAAATCAGGATTGTCAGATGCTATATTTTTCCTATCTCCTGCTCTATGGAGTAGAGAGTTGGTCTCTGACAGAAGGCCACCTGAAGAGACTAGAAGCATTTGAAAGGTGGATTTACATATGGCTGTTATGTATAAGATGGGTTGACAAGATCAGAAATGAGGAGGTGATAAGCCACCTGGGAAAGCCAAGGGAAATCATCAAAACAATTAAAAAACGAAAATTAGAATATTTTGGACCTTTGATGCAACACCCAGAAAAATACGGCATACTCCATTTAATCCTCCAGGGAAAGATTGAAGGCAAACGAGGTCCAGGCAGAAGAAGAACATCGTGGCTTCAAAATCTAAGGGACTGGTTTGGACAAAACTCAGCAGCACTTTTTCGTGCAGCTGCCAATAAAAACAAGATCGCCAACATGATCGCCAACGTCCGATAACGGATATGGCACAAGAAGAAGAAGAAGAGACAGCTAGTTTTCCATAAAGGATACATTAAACAAGACCAACACAATTGGTTCTAATCAATTGCAAAGCAAGAAATCTCCAAAGTAAATTGTACAGGAGTCCAAAAGGCACAACAGGGATCCAGACAAAATCCTATAGGTTTTATATATTGGCTTTATTGGATTCTTGCTCTCAGCAAGGGTTTGGATGGCTGACATGACTCCTTCCAGTTCTAATTCTATGCCTAGATTTGGATTTCATCTAATAGATTGTATCCAGTTCAGTATTGCAAGCTCTATTTTCTTCTACCAGCACCAGCATCCTCCAAACTGGCTCTGAAACCGAAGCCAAATGTAAATTTGTTTTATTTATATGTATCCTGTCTTTGTTGTTTTTACAAGCAACCCGTGGCAACAAATATATCCAAGGCATCTTCCTCCTCCACAACAACAATCTTGTGAGGGGGGGCTGGGCTGAGAGGGAGGGACTGGCCCAAAGTCACCCAGCTGGCTTTCATGGCTAAGGCTGAACTAGAACTCACCGTCTCCTGGTGACTGGCCCAAAGTCACCCAGCTGGCTTTCATGCTTAAGGCAAAACTGTTGTGAGTTAGGACTACCTGTACAGCCATTGGTGGATATTGTTGTGATTCCTTGCCAGCCAGTCGACCCGACAGCTGAGTCTGAGGAATCAGAGGAGGAGGAGGAGGAGGGGCCTGGAGTGATATCAGAGTCAGGGGAAGGCTTTGAGGAGCTCCAAGACTTACAGTCTGACGAGGAGCCTGGCCTCTCACGCTCAGGCTGAGACACAGCTGTGCTGGGAGCCTGAGTTGGACAGTGATGAAGAACAGCTGGGACAAATCCAGGATGCACGAAAGCGCAGGCAAGAGAAGCGAGTAGGACAGAGGAATGCAATGGGGCGGCTCCAAAGGCAAAGGAGAAGGCATTAGGAAGCCACACCTGGGCTGAATAATAACAGGGAAGGTGTGGGAGGTGCTGGTTGCCAAAGGCAATCTATTCATGTTGAGGATCGAGTTTCTAGGAACTGTGTTTGTTTGCCTTGGATATTGACTCAGGTCTATGAATAATAAAAGGGGATTGTTTTTTTCCTGCAGTTCCAGTCTGCTTGTTGGAAGAGGCTGGGACAAAATAGATATATCACTAGATCAGGGGTCTTCAAACTTGGCCCTTTTACGACTTGTGGACTTCCACGCTGGCTGAGGAATTCTGGGAGTTGAAGTCCACAAGTCATAAAAGGGCCAAGTTTGAAGTCCCCTGCACTAGATGATCTGAAAGGTCAGTTGGAAGACAGATTATATTGGAGAAGGTCTACCTATGTGGCTATTAAAAGTCAACTTTAACTTGATAGCACATAATCAACTATTTCCACGGGGTTTAAATGTCTTATGATCTTTTAAGGATGGTAACACGGCAAAAGTACCGGTAATCCAATAAGTACAGGTAATCCTTAATATACAACCACATTTGGAACCAGAATTTCCATTCCTAAGCAAGGCAATTGCTAAGACAGATGCACCTGATTCTACAACTGGTTTCCCATGGTTGCTAAGCAAATCGCCGCAGTTGTTAAGCAAATTACATGGTCATGAAGCAAACCTGGTTTCCCACATTGACTTTGCCGGTTGGAAACTGGCTGGGAGAATCACAAATAGTGATCACGTGACTGTGGGGTGCAACCCTCATCAATACTTGCCTGTTGCCAGGCACCCAAATTTTGATCTTGTGACCATGGGGATGCTGCAATGGTGATTAAGTATGAAGAGCAGTCTAAATTCACATTTTTCAGTGCAGTTGTAACTTCAAATGGTTGCTAAACGAATGGTTGGAAGCTGAGGATGTGTGTGGTAAAGAGAGTGTGTACTAAAGAGAAACTAATGGAAACTGATCAAGGAGGGAAGCAAGCTGGAGTTAAGGAGAAACTTCCTAACAGTGAGGACAATTAACCAGTGGGAACAGCTTGCCTCCAGAAGTTGTAGGTGTTTCATCATTGGAGGTTTTTAAGACTGGACAGCCACTTGTTTGAAATGGTATAGGACCGTGGTAATGAACCTATGGCATGCGTGCCAGAGGGGGGCACTCGGAGCCCTCTCTGTGGGCACGTGCGCCTTGCTCTTTGGCTACGTTTTCGTAGGAAAAAGCCGTTTCTCAAGCCCTTCCTAGCCAAAACAAGCCTCCGCAGCAAGCGCGCTGTTTTCAGCTTTGAATTATATCAAATATGACACCAGAAACAGACTAACACATGACCTGAGTGCTGCATGTGTTGCTCTCAAACTTACAAAATATGAGCCAAGGTTAGACAAATTATCAGCATGCATACAACAGAAAAAATCACATTAATTGTTCAAAAGCATGCCAAATGCAAACTTTTACCTTTCAATAAAAAGTTGTTTGTATCGTTGAAAGCTTTGTTATTGTGTTTTTATTGTAATACAAAGGATGTTAATGTATGAGTTGTTTTCTTTTCTAAACTAAAACTATTCAGATTAAATTGCCATGTTGGCACTTTGCAATAAATAAATGGATTTTGGGTTGCAGTTTGGGGACTCAGTCTCTAAAAGGTTCATCATCACTGGCATAGGATAGTGATGGCGAAACTTTTAGAGACCGAGTGCCCCAAAACTGCCTCGCCCCTGCCCCGCTCCCACCTCTTCTGCCTGCAGGGCCACCCACCACCTCTATGGCCCGCCACAGCAGATCGCCCAGGTGGCCCAACCGCGTCATGGCAGCCACGCCCTCTGTCTGCACTCCGTAGCATCATCTGTACATGATGGGGCACAAAGGCAGAGTCTTGTCCCCACTGCCCGGCTGCCATGTCCTTGGCTGCGCTGCTCTGCGCAGGCTGCGTCCGAGGCAACTCTCCTCCAGGGGGACTGCTGGTGAGGAGGGTGCCACGGGGGGGCAGGGGAGATGGCATGCGTGCCCACAGAGAGGGCTCTGAGTGCCACCTCTGGCACCCGTGCCATAGGTTAGCCACCACTGGTATAGGATCTCCTGCTTGAGCAGGAGGTTGGACTAGACGACCTCCAAGGCCCCTTCTGAGACCTGTCCTATAGATAGGAAAAAAATGTTACCTACCTTTTTCCGGCAAGAGGAATTTACACATGCAGTACACCCAGAGCAAGGTGAGTAGGCCCGAAAGATAGAAGACACTTTCCCATCCATACCAGTCAAGAAGCAGGGAGCCAGCTGCCCCCATCACCAATGTCCTAAAAAGGGGAGAGAGAATTAGGATGGCACACATAATTGGCGGACCAGAATCTATGTAGGAGGTGACTAGGCTGAGCCCAGGGGAGGGTGGGGTGGGGGGTCAAATGCATCATCAGTCTCGAATTCCTTCGTGCCCACAAAAGATCTAAGTCCAGCTGACCTTGAATTTCATTGACTCTTATCTACTGCCAGTTTGTTTTGACAATGAGTACAGGTGAAGAGGAACTAAAGAGCCTCTTGATGCGGGTGAGAAAGAGAGTGCAAAAGTTGGCTTGAAACTCAACATTAAGAAAACCAAGATCATGGCATCCGGCCCTCTCAATTCCTGGTAAATAGATGGGGAAGAAATGGAGGGAGTGACAGATTTTATTTTCCTGGGCTCCAAGATCACCCCAGATGGGGACTGCAGCCAAGAAATTAAAAGACGCTTGCTCCTGGGGAGGAAAGCTATGGCAAATCTAGACAGCATACTAAAAAGCAGAGACATCACCCTGCCAACAAAAGCGCGTATAGTCAAGGCCATGGTTTTCCCAGTTGCAATGTATTCTTTTTCAATCTTAGTTTTAGTCTTGGTGGACAATCAATTAAATATGAGCCAACAGTGTACGGCGGCAGCCAAGAAAGCCAATGCAACCCTCAACTGCAGTAACAGAGGGATTCAATCAAGATCACATGAGGTACTAATACCACTCTATAAAGCCTTAGTAAGACCACACTTAGAATACTGCATTCAGTTTGGGTCTCCACACTATAAAAAAGATGTTAAGACTCTAGAAAGAGTGCAGAGAAGGGCAACAAAGATGATTAGGGGACTGGAGGCTAAAACATATGGAGAACGGTTACAGGAAGTGGGCATGGCTAGTCTAGTGAGGACAAGGACCAGAGGTGATATGATAGCAGTGCTCCAATATTTGAGGGGCTGCCAAAAGGAAGGGGGGGTCAATCTGTTTTCCAAAGCACCTGAAGGCCAGACAAGAAATAACAGATGGAAATTGATCAAGGAGAGATTCAACCTAGAAATAAGGAGACATGTTCTGACAGCGAGAACAATCAACCAATGGAATAGACTGCCTTGTGGAAGCTTCATCACTGGAGGCTTTCAAGAAGAGACTGGACTGGCATCTATCAGAAGTGGTGTAGTGTCTCATGCTTGGGTGGGGAATTGGACTAGATGACCCACAAAGTCCCTTCCAACTTTGTTATTCTGTTCTGTTCTGTTCTGTTCCGTTCCATATATTCTATTCTGTTCTGTTCTGTTCTCTTCTCATCACCATCCTCATATGTTCTGTTCTGTTCTGTTCTATTCTATTCTATTCTCATCACCATCCTCATATGTTCTATTCTATTCTATTCTATTCTATTCTATTCTATTCTATTCTCATCACCATCCTCATATGTGCTATTCTATTCTATTCTATTCTATTCTCATCACCATCCTCATATGTGCTATTCTATTCTATTCTATTCTATTCTATTCTATTCTATTCTATTCTATTCTCATCACCATCCTCATATGTGCTATTCTATTCTATTCTATTCTATTCTATTCTCATCACCATCCTCATATGTTCTATTCTATTCTATTCTATTCTATTCTCATCACCATCCTCATATGTTCTATTCTATTCTATTCTATTCTCATCACCATCCTCATATGTTCTATTCTATTCTATTCTATTCTATTCTATTCTCATCACCATCCTCATATGTTCTATTCTATTCTATTCTATTCTATTCTAGTCTAGTCTAGTCTAGTCTAGTTTAGTCTCATCACCATCCTCATATGTTCTATTCTATTCTATTCTATTCTATTCTATTCTATTCTATTCTATTCTATTCTATTCTATTCTATTCTATTCTAGACAAAACAAGACAAGACAACTTGGTTTCCTGCTTGGGCAGTGGGTTGGACTAGATGACCTGCAAGGTTATCCTATTTTATTCAATCTCTTTTCCTTATTGTCCTGTTCTCCGCTTGAAGAAACTCACCCAAACTGAGATCCAGTTCCGACAGTGCTGTAGATCAGTGCTCGTTGGCTCTCCTGTACCTTCTGGGAAAGCAGACTAGCCAAGGCAGGAAAATAAACCCCTAACAAAGTGGAGAGGAATAGAAAAAAGAAAGAAAGAAAGAAAGAAAGAAAGAAAGAAAGAAAGAAAGAAAGAAAGAAAGAAAGAAAGAAAGAAACCCCATTATAGGCATTCCTCAACTTACAGCCATTCATTTAGTGACCATTCAAAGTTACAACGGCAGCAAGAAAAGTGACTTAAGACTGCTTTTCACACTTACAATCACTGCACAACACTTACATCCCCCATGAACATGTAATCAAAATTCGGATGCTTGGCACCTGGCTGATATTTGGGATCCCACGATCATCGTGGTGGCGCAGTGGTTAGAATGCAGTATTACAGGCTAACTCTGCCCACTGCTGGGAGTTCGACCCTGACTGGCTCAAGGTTGCCTCAGCCTTCCATCCTTCCGAGATCGGTAAACTGAGGATCCAGATTGTTGGGGGCAATATGGTGGCATTGTAAACCGCTTAGAACAGAGGACCCCAACCTTTTGGGCACCAGGGACCACTGCCATGGAGAAAGGTTTTTCCGCGGACCAGAAGGGGTGTGATTTTGAATACTGCCTGCATCCTGAGGACGGAGCTTTGCTTGTTTGTGCGGCCCGCTGGCTGGCATGCTGCGGACCGGTGCTGGTCCGTGGACCGAGGGTTGGGGACCCGTGTCTTAGAAAGGGCTGTAAAGCACTATGAAGCGGTATATAAGTGCTACTGCTGTCACCTTTGGCGATCTTCTGAGAAGCAAAGTCAACGGGGAAGTCTGATCCTCTTAATAAGAACTGGAGGGATTCCCTTAACAACTTTGGCAAGAAAGGCCATAAAATGGGACAAAACTCACTTAACAATGGTCTCGCTCAGCAATGGAAATTTGGGGCTCAACTGTGGTTGTAAGTCGAGGACTACCTGTGACAACAGGTTTCTACTGTGTCCACTCTCGCCAACGCAGCCAATTAAAAATATGGTGTTTCCCTGAAGAGTGTGAACTAATGAAATCCCCATTATTCCAGTTTCTCAGATGAGTCAAGTGTTAGGAAACAGGTTGTCTCACCCTGCAAGAGCCCCATAAGGAAGCGAGTGAAGGTCATGAGAATCAGGTGGGAGGAGCTTGAGGAAATGAGCAGGGGCGTGATGGCGGTGATGGATCCCCAGGCCGATGCAGAGAGGAGAAGGACTTTCTCCCCTCCTATCCTGGAAGACAATTAGGACATTGACAGTTAGGACACTGACATTTTGGTGTGCATTTTCTGCACACCAAAACAGCTTGTTTAGCGCAGGGGTCTCCAAACATGGCAACTTTTAAGACTTGTGGTCTTTGGCGCCCAGAATTCCGTGACTGGCTGGGGAATTCTGGGAGCTGAAGTCCAGAAGTCTCAAAGTTGCCAAGTTTGGAAACCCCTGGTTTAGTGCAAGCAGCAGCAGTTGGAAACAGGAAGCGAGCATGACGCAAGGTGCACGCACCAACATCCGTGCAGAAGGAAGGAATGTTTCCTATGCCTGCCCTGCGTTTAAGCACAGGATCAATCCTTCCAGAATCCAGAAAGAAAATTTGCTTGCATTATATTAGGTACCATTCCACCTGCAGGGTTATTTTTAAGTAACCAGGTTTCTCTCTTCAGGAGACTGTCATCATGCACAGATATTGTACGGAATAGAGCCAAGGTGGCGCAGCAGTTAGAGTGCAGTACTGCAGGCCACTTTAGCTGACTGTGTTCAGCAGGTCAGCGGTTCAAATCTCACCGGCTCAAGGTTGACCCATCCTTCCGGGGTAGGTAAAATGAGGACCCAGATTGTTGGGGGCAATGTAAATATATATATATACATTGCTTACTGGTGTACACCGCTTAGAGAGTGCTTGCACTTAAAGTGGTATATAAGTCTCATAAAAAAAATATTTAGTAGTTGAGATGCAGTGGAATTGTGCATAGGAAAGCATTCAAGAGTTGACTTCAATGAGCCAAAGGTGGTTTTTTGTCCCCAAAGGCAATTGGAATTTCTTGGGTTTTTTTTTTTTTTTCTCTTTGAAAACATTTTGTTTCTTATCTAAGAAGCTGCTTCCCTTCCAAGGAAAAAACTAAGAAGTAAAATTGCCTTTTGGAAAAAGCACTTTGGGACCTGGCTGATTGTGAATCTCCATAGACCAGTGGTGGCGAACCTATGGCACGCGTGCCAGAGGCGGCACTCGGAGGCCTCTCTGTGGGCACATGCACTTCGCTCTTTGGCTGAGTTTTCGCAAGAAAAAGACATTTCTCAAGCCTTTCCTAGCCAAAACAAGCCTCCGGAGTGAGCGCACTGTTTTCAGCTTTGAATTATATCAAATCTGACACCAGAAACAGACTAACACAGTGATGGCGAACCTTTTAGAGACCGAGTGCCCAGACTGCAACCCAAAACCCACTTATGCATTGTCGGGTGCCGGGTGGGTGTGGCCCATTGGGTGGTGTGGCCTATTGGGTGGGCGTGGCTGCAGTGGTAACAGCAGACTGGATGGGACTAAAAAGTTCAATCAATCAATTCCAACTTTGCAAGATCTTTTTTTTCCCGCGAGAAGTTGAAATTGACTGATTGATTGAACTTTTGTTTTTGTACACGGCGGCGGAGGCCTAAAGCGAAAAGGTTTTATAAAACCCAGCTGAAGGCCTAGGACTGGGGTGACAGCGTGCGTGCCCACAGAGAGGGCTCTGAGTGCCGCCTCTGGCACCCGTGCCATAGGTTCGCCACCACTGGACTAATACATGACCTGAGTGCTGCATGTGTTGCTCCCAAACTTATAAAGTATGAGCCAAGTTAAGACAAATTATCAGCATGCACACAACAGTAAAAATCACATTAATTGTTCAAAAGCATGCCAAATGCAAACTTTTACCTTTCAATAAAAAGTTGTTTGTATTGTTGAAAGCTTTGTTGTTGTGTTTTTATTGTAATACAAAGGATGTTAATGTATGAGTTGTTTCTTTTTTAAACTAAAACCTCAGTATTCAGGTTATATTGCCGTGTTGGCACTTTGCGATAAATAAGAGGGTTTTGGGTTGCAGTTTGGGGACTCAGTCTCTAAGAAGGTTCGCCATCACTGCCACAGACATTTGAGTTCAATGAGATAAATATGCAATTGTGATAGTCTATGAGGTTTTGCAATAGGCTGCTTTGAATGCTCAACAGATAGAAAGGATAAAACCAATGAATAAAATGATGGCCACGAAGATGATAAAGAAACAATGAAAGAGAATTTGAATTCTTATCGCAAATGCAAATTTTTCCATGTTTCATCAAAAGGCGAGTGACACATCCTTATTCCTTTTGTTAATTAATGACTGGATATTATTTTTACTGCATGTTGAATAATGATAAAAAAAAATATTTAAAAAGTCCTTCAGTGCTAAAGCAGCGCTAAGACCACAAAGTAGTATTGTTCATACCGGTCACTCAAGTGGCCCCCAACAACTTGAGTTAGACAGTAGCCCCAAAAGAAGCTGCTTAACACAATTCCAGACTGTTTCTTGTCCCAATCGAAGAGACTGCTCATGGTGACCACACAGATGGGCATTAGGACCCTGGTACAGTAAAGCAGGCAGGTTCCAAGCAGGAGCATTGTGGTCCATAATCGGGATTCAGGCCTGTTAATATCAGAAGACAGAGAATATTAGTAGGAAGTCAGCACCCCCCCCCCCCAGAGAAGGAAATATTTTAGGGAATATTAAAAAAGGCAGAATATTATATTTCCCCAAAGGAATAATAGAAAAAATCTTAGACAAAACCAGCCCCCAGAAACCAGCCCCCAAGCAGATACTCAGCAGGCCAACTCTGTAGAAATGCAGATTTGATAATCCTATTCAGAAAGACTGGGCCACCTATTAATAAGCAAAATGCCTTCAGCTACAGCCTCAGAGAAGCAGGACATGACCTTTAGGACACAAGAGGATTAACCCAACACCATTAAAATACCAAAAGGGCACACTGCACCTCATGTCAAAGTTCATTGCACAGGAACAGGAACAACCTCAAACAGGAACAACTCCAAACACAAAACCCCAAACAGGTATAAAGCCCATCACTGCCAGTCCATTTTGTCAGCTTTCCCAGAACCACATGCAGTTGGTTCTGTTCTTCAACAAACAGAACCTTCTTTCCCAACAGCCTCCATTTTATTATTTCCCAGCTTGGACTGGACCCTGATGAAGATTTTTCTTTCAACATTAGCATGTTATGTATTTAGGTACCTCAGTAAAATAATCCAATCTCAAAAAAACTTCATCCTGTAGAAGGATAGGCAAGGGGCAGAATTTGGGGTGGAGTCAAGAGAGGAATCAGCCTAGAGTCCCACAAGTGGTGTAAGTCCAACTCCTCTTGAAGTCCTTTAACTCTTATCTAATAATAATAATAATAATAATAATAATAATAATAGTAAAGTTGGAAGGGGCCTTGGAGGTCATCTAGTTCAACCCCCTGCTCAAGCAGGAAACCCTATACCATTTCAGACAAATGGCTGTCCAATCTCTTAAAAACTTCCAGAGTTGGAGCATTCACCACTTCTGGAGGCAGGTTGTTCCACTGGTTAATTGTTCTAACTGTCAGGAAGTTTCTCCTTAGTTCTAGGTTGCTTCTCTCCTTGATTAGTTGCCATCCATTGCTTCTTGTCCTGCCTTTGGGTGCTTTGGAGAATAGCTTGACTCCCTCTTCTTTGGGGCAGCCCCTGAGATATTGGAAGGCTGCTATCATGTCCCCCCTCGTCCTTCTCTTCATTAAACTAGGCATACCCAATTCCTGCAGCATCCCAAAGGTGCTTTTTCAAGAGGCAACTAGACTTTCTGGTTTTTCTTTGAAGACATTTCGCTTCTCATTCAAGAAGCTTCTTCCGCTCTGACTGGATGGTGGGGAATGGAAAGATTTATGTTCCTTGCAGACAGCTGGTCATTTGCATTCTTTTAGTCAACTCACGGTCAGCACGGTCACTGTGTTGTAGGCCTGAGACAGATGATGTCTGTACTTTCAGCAGTTCCAAAAAGACTACACACCCATTTGCACCACTCAGGTGACCTTGCGGATACAGATAAACCTCCAGTTGGCTTCAACGACTCTCTAAAAGAAGGCAAATGACCAGCTGACTGCAAGGAATATAAATCCTTCCATTCCCCACCATCCAGTCAGAGCTGAAGAAGCTTCTGGGATGAGAAGCGAAACGTCTTCAAAGAAAAACAAGAAAGTCCAGTTGCCTCCTGAAAAAAGCACCTTTGGGACAACCATGACCTGGATGACAGAGAATCTCCCTGGCCTCTCATCTAGCATCAATTTAGTGCTGACCATGAGTTGACTAGTTTCTTATCTATAGACATGAACAATAAATTATCTTAACTCAGGGGTCTTCTAACATGGCCACTTTAAGACTTGTGGACTTCAACTCCCAGAATTCCTCAGCCAGCCCTGAGGTGGTGGTGGTGGTGGTGGTAGTGGTGGTATTATTATTATTATTGTTATTGTTATTATTATTATTATTATTATTTGCTTTCACAAACCATGGTTGAAAATGAAACATGATTTAACCTACCAATAAGAAACTTTTTTAAGGACCCCCAAACACCCTCTGAACATTGCTTCCAAAAGTCACTGTCATGGCTATCTTCCATTTTAAAGAGAAAATTAGAAAATTCTGCTACAAGAGGTAAAATAGACTTATCAAACTTAAAAAAAAATCTTTCTCTGTGTGAGAGAGAGAGGAGGGAGAAATCCTTCTTTTTCCAAAAGCAACCAGAATAAAGAAATGATGAATATGGAAAGACTGCCGTCCCTAGATTAGAGGAATGCATGACTCCGCCAGTTAAATCACATTTAGTAAGAAAATAACAAGTTCAGATAGTTATAAGCTGTCTGCAAAGTGACTAATTTTATGACCCAAATTCTCTCTTTAAGCACACCTAAACTCCAATTTATTTCTAAGGGTCACTTAGTAAATTGCACTTAATTCTCAACCTATAATTAAGTTAGTGTTGCCATCGGAAACCACGAGGCCTGATCTGCAAAGCTGATGGGCCGAGCAACAGTATAAATTTGTAATACTTTGGCTTCAGGATTCATCTTTTTGTTTTATTCTTTTATTAAATTAAAGCATCTGAAGGCAGGACAAGAAGCAACGGATGGAACTAATCAAAGAGAGAAGCAACCTAGAAGGGTGGAGAAATTTTCTGACAGTGAGAACAATTAATTAGTGGAACAACCTGCCTCCAGAAGCAGTGAATGCTCCAACACTGGAAGTTTTTAAGAAGAGACTGGACAACCATTTGTCTGAAATGGTATAGAGCAGGGGTAGGCAACCTTGACTCTTTTAGGATTCATGGACTTCAACTCCCAGAATTCCTGAGTCAGCTACGCTGAGGGAAAAGGGAGGTTTCCAAGCTGAGCCATGCTAGCTCAGGAATTCTGGGAGTTGAAGTCCACGAGTCATAAAAGAGCCAAGGTTGCCTACCCCTGGTATAGGGTTTCCTGCCTGAGCAGGGGGTTGGACTAGAAGACCTCCAAGGTCCCTTCCAACTTTATTATTATTATTACTTATTTTCAACACAATTACACAACCAGTTCAGAACTTGTCCCAAGATACCAGAAGGGTACTCCACTGTCTCATAACACAGGAAAGATTTTTCTTCAGCTCTATTCTAAATTCCAATATTTAAATAATAAAGGCACTGCCCCACCTTTTATTTCTTTCAGTTGTGAACTATGGCACGGAAACTCAGGAAATACCTTTTATAGGGTTAACTCTGCCAGCAATTCAAATATTTGCTTTCTCCTTGTACTGTTGAAAGAACGAATACATAACCCACCACAATGCCTCAGCCCTGCTTAGACAACCTAAGGCAGTTCAGATGTCGTTGGGTAGTCCTCGATTTACAATGGTCCTTTTAGTGGTCATTCGAAGTTACAATAGCACAATGAAAAAAGTAACCTATGACTACTTTTCACACTTACGACCGTGGCAGCATCCCCACGGTCACGTGTTCAAAATTCAAATGCTTGTCAACTGATTCATATTTTTTTTAAAAGTTTTATTGAATAACAAAAAAGAAAAGAAAGAGGAAAAAAAATTAAAAACATTGAACGTGGTAAATCAGCATTTGACAAAGATCTCAGTTCATATTGACATTAATTACAAATAAAACTCTTTACAAGAACATCCTTCTAATTTCAATCTTGACTTATCTCATTACAATAACTTCCCTATTTTTGTTTTTTTTCCCCACCATCTATAGAATTTATTCCATATTTGGTAAAAAACTGTTTCATCCTGATTTTTTAGTCTTTTAGTTAACCTGTCTAATTCTGCGCAATACATAATTTTCTGAATTAAAATTTCCCACTAGCTACAACCGTAGCTTTCCAGTTTTGAGCGAATAAAATCCTTGCCGCCGTAACCACATGAATAAATAAATACGTATCCTCTTTACTAACACTTTTTTCAAGGAATCCTAACAACAATGTCTCAGGTTTGTACTGGATGTTTTGCATAATCATTTCTGTCACCCGTTCCCAAACCATGTGCCAGTACACCTGTGCTTCCTTGCATGTCCACCAAATATGAAAAAAGATGCCCCTTTCTTTTTTACATTTCCAACATAAAGATGAGTATCCTTCATACATTTTGGCTAATCTAGCTGGAGGGAGATGCCAAACTGATTCATATTTATGACGGTTGCAGTTCCCGGGGTCATGTGATCCCCTTTTGCGACCTTCCGATAGGCAAAATCGATGGGGAAGCCAGAATTCACTTAACAACCGTGTTACTAATTAACAACTGCGGTGATTCAGTAAACAACTGTGGCCAGAAAGGTGATAAAACTCATGTAATAGTTGTCTCACTTAACAACAGAAAATTTGGGCTCAATTGTGGTCGTAGGTTGAGGACTACCTGTACAGGAAAGATTTTGATTCAGCTCCACTGTAAATTCCAACTCTTAAATAATAGTGCAAAACTTCTGTCCCACATTTTTTTCCTTGAGTTTTGAACAACGGCACTGAAACTTGGCAAATAGGTTTTATAGGGTTAAATCTGCTTGCAGTTCAAATATTAGCTTCCTGCTTGCACTGTTGACAGAATGCATAATCCATCACGATACAGTAGTATTTCTCAACTTTGGCGGCTTTAAGCTGTGTGGACCAACTCCCAGAATTCCTCAGCCTCACATATAGTTGTATTTTAAAAGCCTCCCGGCAAAGCTGGCTAAGGAATGCTGGGAGTTGAAGTCCACGCAGCTTCAAATGGCCAAAATTGAGAAACATCGCATCACAGTGTACCACCTAAGCCCTGCTTACGCAACCTAAGGCAGTCCAAATGTCGCTATACCACAATTCTCATCATCCTTCACCACTGGTCCTAGCTAAGGAAGATGGGATCTGGAGTTCAGAGGCTCCCATTCTGCCCTTTCTTAGCCTGAAAAAAAAAAGGACTGCAGATTTCCCCAAGCTGATGCCTTCCAGCCATTTTGTGCATTACAAGCCAATATGGCTATCACCGTGCAAACGAGGAATTCTGGGAGTGGTAGAACAAAACAGCTGGGAAGCACAGCTGGGAAGGCCTAGATAGTCATAAAAAGACCAAACCTGCCTGCAATTGCCTCTCACAACCTTA